GTGTGTGTGTGTGGGACTGCACCCCAGTGAGAGCGTGTGTGTGTGTGGGACTGCACCCCAGTGGAGAGTCAGTGTGTGTGGGACTGTACCCCAGTGGAGAGTCAGTGTGTGTGGGACTGTACCCCAGTGAGAGTCAGTGTGTGTGGGACCCTGTATCCCAGTGAGAGTCAGTGTGTGTGTGGGACTGTACCCCAGTGAAAGTCGGAGTGAGTTTCACTCTGGAAATCAGACTCTCACCTGCCTCATCTTTCAATGTTTTGGGGTAACGCCTCCGACCCACCATCATTGGAAAAGGATCTCGTCCGTCATTCTTTTCATAAACGTCACGGATTTCCACAGTCCCATCAGCCAGGTAATAATGGATAATGTACCGTCTGCACTCACCAAACATATTGTCTGTGTCATTCCAGTACGCATAAAATCTCAAAACCTGCCAAAGGTAACAAGATTCAGGCAAAGAGTAATGACGATGACAGAGACCACATATTTTGTGCCCATCCCATCTAGTCCCACTATACCCTTCATCCTGTTCCAGTCACCATCTCCTTGGCTTCTTTCTCTGAGAATAACATCTCTGGACCTTCTCTCCATTTTGAAGCCTCTCCCCTCTGGATCCCCTCTCCATCCTACAAACCTCCCCTCCAGGTCTCTTTCCCTGGACTCCACATCCCTCAGGATCTACTCCAGACTGCATCCTCCAGACCCCCTATCCCTCTGGACATCCATCCCTCTGGTCCCTCTCCCCTGTGGACCATTTTCCCATTTTAATCTGTTTCCCTCCGGGATCACATCTCTTCAGATCCTGGTCCTCCCTTTACTTCTCCACTGACATCATTCCTCCCAAGACTACCTCTCTCTCATCTCCAACCCTAAAATTCCACCTCTCTACTCACCCCTTGGCTGACCCATTATCAGCTCCTCTGGGTATCTCTGGACAGTAATACCACAATCTGGTGAAACACACAATTCTGAAACTAAATGCAATGATGTGTTGGGGGCATGGCTGACTACCATTTCCCCTCAGACAAAGCCATTGAGCTATTTATTAGTCATGTATTGTTTGTGACAATCACTCGACTTGACAATCAGTCAGACTCGCTGTTTTCCTAACCAAGGCTCCGCATTCAATTGGTAATTAGTTTCCAATCCAGTGACTTGTGATTTGTTATCAGGCCATTAGGTCATAACTTTGCAGTCGAAGATCAGGTTACTAATCTTAAAGTTAAAGGTCAGGACACAAACCTTCCGGTCATAGGTTAGGAACTGTTTGAGTTTATCAAAGTCTGAGGGAGTGACATGCTCCCGAGCAGGGTTTCTTTTGCGACTCTCGATGTAGGGATCTGGTGGGATCATCTCTGGACAATTTGGGATAATGCCATGGCTCACCATGAAATCCTGGGAAATAGGAGACAACAAGAGGTAAGCGACAGGACTGTGAGGACAAACAAAGCAAGCCAGAAACCAATAATATTTTCAAATAAAATAAACCACACACATAAAGTGCCACTCTCTCATTAGAGAAAGACAGCTGGTGAGTTTTTCAGGCATGTCAATATAAAAAAAAGGAAGAGGTGATGGGTGTTTGAAAAGCTTTAAGGTAGACAAGTCCCCAGGATCTGATGGGATCTATACCAGGATGCTGAAAGAGCAGGTGAGGAAATTGCTGAGGCCTTGTACAAAATCATTGTATCCTCTTCAATCACAGGAGACGTCCCAGAGGACTGGAGAATAGTCAATGTTGTTCCTGTGTTTAAGAAGGGCAACAGGGATAATCCGGGAAATTACAGGCCAGTGAGCCTTACATCAATGGTAGAGAAATTACTGGAGAGGATTCTTAGGGATAGGATTTACTTGTATTTATGGACTCATTAGCAATAGGCAGCATGATTGTGTGCTAGGAAGGTCGTGTCTCACAAACCTGATGGAGTTTTTTCAAGAATTAACAAAGGTGATTGGTGAGGGCAGGGCAGTAGATGTTGTCTATGTGGACTTTAGCAAGGCTTTTGACAAGGTCCTTCATGGCAGGCTGATACAGAAAGTGAAATTACATGAGATCCATGGTGAGCTAGTGAGATGGATATAGAACTGGCTTAGTCATAGAAGACAGAGAATAGTAGTGGGTGGGTGTTTTGCAGACTGGAGGTCTGTGACAGCGGTGTTCCACAGGGATCAGTGCTGGGACTCCTGTTATTTGTAATATATATAAATGATTTGGAGGAGAATCTAGGTGGCCTGATTAGTAAGTTCGTGGATGATACAAGGATTGGAGGAACTGTAAGAAGTGCGGAGAATTGCAGAGGATACAGCAGCATACAGATAGGCTGGAGACTTGGGCAGAGAAATGGAAGATGGGGTTTAATCCAGACAAGTACGAGATAGTGCATTTTGGGAGATCGAATGAAAGAGGGCAGTATACTGTACCAAAAAAAAGTTGGTGGAAAAGCTCAGCAGGTCTGGCAGCATCGGTGAAGAAAAAAAGAGTTAACGTTTCGGGTCTGGTGACCCTTCCTCAGTTCTTTTGGTTTTTATTGGGTAGTATACAGTAAATAGCAGAACTACTAGTTGAATCAACATGCACACAGATTTAGACATAAAGGTCCACACTTCCCTGAAAGTGGCAACATAAGTGAATAAGATGGTTAGGGCACAGAGTATAAAAATTGGCAAGTCATTTTGCAGCTGTGTAGAACTTTAGTTTGGCCATATTTGGAATATTGTGTACAGTTCTGATCACCACAATATCAGAAGGATGTGGAATCTTTGGATAGGATACAGAAACGTTTTACCAGGTTTGGAGAGTATTAGCTATGAGGAGAGATTGGACAAACTCATTTTGTTTTCATTTGAAAGTTGAAGGATGAGGGGCAACTTGATAGAAGTGTATAAAATTATGAGAGGCTTGAATAGAATGGATAGTTGGAGTCTTTTTCCCAGGGTAGAAATGTCAATCACTAGGGGACATGGGTTTAAGGTAAAAGGGGAAAGTTTAAAGGAGATTTGAGAGGCAAGTTTTTTTACACAGAGGGTAGGAAGTGCCTGGAATGTGCTGCCAGCGGAGGTGGTGGAGGCGGTTACAATAGCAATGTTTAAGAGGTATCTTGATAGATACATGAATAGGTAGGGAATAGAGGGACTGTGTAAAGACAAAAAGATTTTAGTTTAGAAAAGCATCATCTGTCGGCACAGTTTTGGTGGGCCAGAGGGCCTGCTTCTGTGCTGTACTGTTCTTTGAGTTTAACCTGAGTGTCACCTCACCTCAGGCAAGGCCCAGGGTTGAAAACGCAGCACCTTCAAAGTAACCTTGGCCAGTGCAGGAAATAAACCATGCTGTTGGCATTGCTCTGCATGACATACCAGCCATCCAGCCAGCTGAACTGAGTAGCCTCCATATGAAAACAAAAACAGAAATTGCTGGAAAAGCTCAGCAGGTCCGGCAGCATCTGTGAAGAGAAATCAGAGTTAACGTTTTGGGTCCATGACCCTTCCTCAGTGTTCACCGGACCCAAAACATTAACTCTGATTTTCTCTTCACAGATGCTGACGGACCTGTTGAGCTTTTCCAGCAACTTACGTTTTTGTTTCTGATTTACAGCATCCACGGTTCTTTCAGTTTTTATCCCATATGAATACATTTGTCCTCAGTCACTGCTATCAAGTCCCCAGCTCTGGGCCCAGGCTGTAGTTACACTATTAGCAACATTCACTAAGGCTTCTTGGCTTCACTTCACTACTGGATCCAGCTAAACTCTTTGAGTTAGTACCTCATTTCAGGAAGTGATAGATGCAGGTACAGTTTGAATATTTAAAAGACGTGGACAAATCCATGCTGTATGACTCTAACACTCTATGACCCCCTAGCTGAATTCACCAAGGGATCGCTGGATAGCATTCAGGCACAGGAACCCTAGCTGATATCCCCCTTCTTTCTGTCTCTCTCTAACCTAGGGATCACTGGACAGTGATCAGCAAGCAACAGCTGATTTGCCCTCGAGTTTCTTGAAACAATTTATAGAATTGGGATAGTTAGGGAAGAGGCCATAATGGACTTTGTCTTAGGGAATGAGACTGGCCAGGTGATCAAAGTTTCAGTGGGGGAACAGTGATCATAATTCCGTATGTTTTAAGATAGTTATGAATAAGGATAAGACTAGTCCTTGGGTGAAATTCCAGACTGGGGGAAGGCTAATTATGACACAATAACGCAGGAACTGAAGAAATTAGAATCGGGGGCTGTTTGAGAATAAATCTACATCTGACGTTTGGGAATCTTTTAAAGGCCAGTTGATCAGAGTTCAAGACCGGCACATTCCTGTGAGGACGAAAGATAAAGATGGCAAGATTCAGGAACTCTGGATGATAAGAGATGTTGAAAGTTTCATCAGAAAGGAAAAGGAAGCATATGTCAGGTTTAGGAAACTGAAATCAGACAAAGCCTGTGACAAATATAAAGGAAACAGGAAAGAACTTAAACAAAGAATTGGAGGGCTAAAGGGGGCTATGAAATGTCCTTGGATAGTAGGAATACAGAGAATCCATGGCACTTTATTCATATGATAGGCACAAGGAGATACTGTAACCAGGGGAAGCATAGCTCCATTAAAAAACAAAGGAGGGGATTTATGCATGGAGACAGAGGAAGTGGGTGAGGTCTTTAATGAGGACTTCGTATCAGTATTCACCAAGGAGAAGGACATGGATGATGGTAAGATTATGAAGGGGCATGTTGATATTCTGAGGCAAGTCAATATTGAGAAGGAGGAGGTCTTTGGAGGTCTTGAAAACTATTACCATAGTTAAATTTCAGGGCCTGATGGGATCTATCCCAGGATACTGAGGGAGGTAAGGGAAGAGATTGCTGGGGCCTTGACAGAGATCTTTTTGTCCTCTTTAGCCATAGCTGAGATCCAATAGCCAATGTTGTTCCTTCGTTTAAAAACAGCATCAGGGAAAATCCAGGAAATTATATCCAAAGATAACAAGGTGTAGAGCTGGATGAACACAGCAGGCCAAGCAGCATCAGAGGAGCAGGAAGGCTGAAGTTTCGGGCCTAGACCCTTCTGGTTATCTCAGATTCTCCAGCATCTGCAGCTCCTGCTACCTCTGAAATTATATTCAAATGTGCCTTGCATCAGTGGTAGGGAAATTTTATTACAAAAGTTTTTTAGAGATAGGATTTACTCTCATTTGGAAAAGAATGGACTTATTAGGGATAGACAGCATGGCTTTATGCGGGAGAGATCTTGCATTTCAAATTTGATCAAATTTTTTGAGGAAGTGACAAAGATGATCAATAGGGGTAGGGCAGTGAATGTTGTCTACATGGATTTTACTAAAGCTTTTGACAAGGACCCTCATGGTAGGCTGGTCCACAAGATTAAGTCACATTGATGAGTTGGTAAATTGGCTTAGTCGTCAAAGACAGAAGGTAGTTGTGGAGGGGTGTTTTTGAGACTGGAGGTCTATGACCAGTGGTGTTCCACAAGGAGCAGTGCAGAGACCTCTGTTGTTTGTAATATTTATAAATAAATTGGATGATAATATCAGTGGTTTGATTGGTAAGATTGGAAATGATACAAAAATTGGTGGAGTTGTGGATAGTGAGAAAGGTTGACAAAGCATACAGTAGTATAAAAATATAGGAAAGTTGGATAGAGAAATGACAGATGGAGTAAAATCCAGACAAGTGTGAAGTGATCATTTTGGGAGGTCAAATGCAAGAGGAAAGTGTATAGCAAATGGCAGGATACTTCAGAGCATTGATGTACAGAGGGATCTTGGGGTGCAAGTCCATAGCTCCCTGAAAGTGCCAACACAAGTGGATAAAGTGATAAAGAAGGCAGACAGCATGCTTGCCTTCACCGGTTGGGGTATTCAGTATAAAAGTTGGTAAGTCATGTTGCAGCTGTATAAAATTTTAGTTAGACCATATTTCGAGTATTGTGTGCAGTTCTGGTCACTATACTATAGAAAAGATGTGGGGTCTTTGGAGAGGATGCAACAGATGTTTACCAGGATGTTGCCTGGATTGGAGAGTATTAACTATAAGAAGAGTTTGGAAAAACTTGGATTGTTTTTGCTAGAGTGTTGGAGGCTGAAGGGGTGACCCAATAGAAGTATCTAAATTATGAGGAGAATTAATAGGGTGGATAGTGGGAGTCTCTTTCCCAAGATGGAAACATCAATTACTAAGGGCATAATTTTAAGGTGATGGGGGGAAAGTTTCAAGGAGATGTGTGAGGCAACATTTTTATGCAGAGGGTGGTAGGTGCCTGGAACATGCTGCCAGGGGAACTGGTAGAAGCAGGTACGTGAGCAAAGTTCAGGAGGCATTTAAACAGACACATGAACAGACAGGGAATAGAAGGATACGGACCATGGCATCATGGTCAGCACAGACATGGTGTTGTAGATATGGTAGCTAAGCTTGCTGATGACACAAAAATAGATAGGAAAATAAGTTGTTAAGAGCACATAAGGAGCCTCCAAAGAGATATAGATAGATTAGGTGAGTGGGCAAAGATCCAACAAAAGGAGTACGAGATGGGAAACTGTGAAATTGTCCATTTTGACAGAAAGAAAAGAAAAACAGTATATTTAAATGGTGGGAGGTTGCAGGGCTGTAAGATGCAGTGGGATCTGGGTGTTGCAGCACACTAATCATAGAAGATTAGTACACAGGTACAGCAATAATCAGGAAAGCTCAGAGAATATTATGGTTTATTGCAAGAGAAATTGAATACAAGAGTAAGAAGGTAATTCTTCAGTTATAAAAACCGAAAGAACTGTGGATGCTGGAAATCAGAAACAAAAACAATATTGCTGGAATAGCTGAGCAGGTCTGGCAACATCTGTTGGCCAACAGGATTAAGGAAAATCCCAAGGCTTTTTATACATATATAAAGAGCAAGAGGGTAGCCAGGCAGAGGGTTGGTCCACTCAAGGACAGGGAAGGGAATTTAGGTGTGAGGCCAGAAGAAATGGGCGAGGTATTAAATGAGTATTTAAATAAGGTCACGTCTCACTAACTTGGTTGAGTTTTTTGAGGAAGTGACGAAGATGATCGATGAGGGTAGGGCAGTGGATGTTGTCTACATGGACTTCAATAAGGCCTTTGACAAGGTCCCTCATGGCAGGCTGATACAGAAGGTAAAGTCGCATGGGGTCAGAGCTGAGCTTGCAAGATGGATAGAAAACCTGGCTCGGTCACAGAATACAAAGGTAGCCGTGGAAGGGTGTGTTTCTGAATGGAAGTCTGTGACTAGTGGTGTTCCTCAGGGATCAGTGTTGGGACCTTTGCTGTTTGTAATATATATAAATGATTTGGAGGAGAATGTAACTGGTCTAATTAGTAAGTTTGCCGATGACACAAAGGTTGGTGGAATTGCAGATAGTGATGAGGACCTTCAGAGGATACAGTTGGATATAGATCGGTTGGTGACTTGGACAGAAAGATGGCAGATTGAGTTTAATCCAGAAAAATGTGAGGTAATGCATTTTCGAAGGTCTAATCCAAATGGAAAATATACAGTCAATGGCAGAACCCTTAAGAGTACTGATAGGCAGAGAGATCTGGGTGTACAGGTACACAAGTCACTCAAAATGGCAACACAGGTGGAGAAGGTAGTCAACAATGTATACGGCATGCTTGCCTTCATTGGCCGGGGCACTGAATTTAAAAATTGTCAGGTAATGTTGCAGCTTTATAGAACCTTAGTTAGGCCGCATTTGGAATATTGTGTTCAATTCTGGTTGCCACACTACCAGAAGGATGTGGTGGCTTTGGAGAAGGTACAGAAAAGATTTACCAGGATGTTGCCTGGTATGGAGGGCATTAGCTATGAGGAGACGTTGGAGAAACTTGGGTTGTTCTCACTGGAACGACGGAGGTTGAGGGGCGACCTGTTAGAGGTCTACAAGATTATGAAGGGCATGGACAGACTAGACAGTCAGAAGCTTTTTCCCAGGGTGGAAGAGTCAGTTACCAGGGGCCATGGGTTTATGGTGCGAGGGGCAAGGATTAAAGGTGATGCACGAGGCACGATTTTTACACACAGGGTGTGGGTGCCTGGAACCCACTGTCAGGGGAGTTAATGGAAGCAGATACTAAAGTGACTTTTAAAGGGTGTCTTCACAAATACATGAATAGGATGGGAATAGAGGGATAGGGTCCCTGGAAGGGCAGGGGGTTTTAGTTGTGACGGGCAGCGTGTCGGTGCAGGCTTGAAGGGCCGAAGGGCCTGTTCCTGTACTGTAATTTTCTTTGTTCTTTGTTCTTTATCTGTGGAGAGAAATCAGAATTAATATTTCGGGTCAGGTGACCCTTCCTCAGAATTGATGGTAAATATGAAAATGTCAGTTTATTTGCAGAAGATAGGGTAGGGGGAGGGGGTAAGGAGTACGGTGGACAAGAGAAAAGATTAGAACTGAAATCCTGTCCAAGAGATGACCAGAACTTCTTAAAGCTGGGTATGCCTGCAAGTGATATCGCAGTGAGTTAAATCCTAAATAAAAACTGAAAGAACTGTGGGTGCTGTAAATCAGAAACAAAATCAGAAATTGCCAGAAAAGCTCAGCAGCAGTGTATTGGTGAGACTGCATTCGGGATACTATGCACAGTACTGGTCCCTTACCTATTTAAGGAGCTTAATGAGTTGGGAACAACTCAAAGGAGGTTTATTAGTCTAATATCTGGAATGAGTGGATCCCCTTAATAGGAAAGGCTGGATAGTCTAAGCCTGTATCCTCTGGAGTTTGAAACACTCAGAGGTAACTGAATGAGAACACATAAAGGGACTTGACCAGGTGAATGCAGAAAAGATGGCTCCCTTTGTGGGAGAATTTAGAACTAGGGGATCGTGATTTAAAAATAAAGGAGAACCCATTTGAAACAGAGATGAAGAAGCATCTTTTGCCTCGGAGGGTTGTGAAGGTTTGGAATTCCCTTCCTCAAGACCCAGGGGATGTAGACTTTTCATTATACTCCTATATGTGAATAAACGTGTAGTGATTGGAACCAGGTGGGCCTCATTGACTGTGAGATCCTTGATTGGGCCAATCAGAGAGCCCTGACTTGCAGATATAAATAGGGGAATTAGAGACTCTCCTGACTTCAGGGAACAACTCTGAGCTGGCTCGTCACAGCTAGTGTATTGTGCACATGTAAATAAAGGGTGACTTGGTGACGGGATACCAGTCTCTGCATAGTTATTTCAATATGTGACAATAAAATCTGATTCTAATCTTAATTCTAAAGGGTTAAATAGATTATTGATTACTAAGGAACATCAGGATATATAGGAATGTAGAGTTGAGGTTAAAATCAGATTAGCCACAAACTTATTGAATTGTGTATCAGGCTCAAAGGGCCAAGTGGCCTACTCTTGATCCTTATATTTGCATATTCATAAGATGATATAATGTTTGTGAAAGGCCAACTTACACATGTAAATTTGTCACAGCCAGTGAGGCGGTATCGCTTTCCATATGCCACCACCTCTATGGCGACATTGAGGTCCTTCCAATGCCAACAATCTCCTTGGTCATTTTTGGGGAGTCGCTGTCTGTTGATCAGTTTGCCCTGAGTTAGTCCAGAGTTATCCACTTCTGGCTCATGAATGGAAATACTGTCATCCTCCAGGTAATAGTACAGGATGATCGGTCGAACCCGATAATATTCATGTGGGGATTCATGAACTGTTTCCTTGAAATATCCGTCAAATTTCAACACCTGGTTAAAAATTGAGAGAACACTTTCACTGAAAGAATACAATGTGGGTGATGGGAGGCAGGAAATGTGATTGAGGGGAGAAGGCATGGTCGGTAAGGGGGGCAATAGAAAATATGGTCAGTGGGCGAATGTTGAACAAATTATCAAAACGTTACCTTCTTATCAAAAGCCACATGCCCAGGAATGAAATCTGCTGGTGGGGCCTGTTTGGCCTGGCCATACGTTAATGTTGGTCTTTTATTAGCCAATTCATCCACATCAGATAGAGACAGCTGATTCACATGGATTGGTTCCCCACCAATCCCGACCTTGGGCACAACAGGGAGAGCAATGCCATTCTTGTAGATGAAAGTCTGTGATCGATGGAAGTTAGACTTCTAAAGACAATTAGAATGATATAATTGTCAGAACAGGAACAAGGAATTCATTTCTTATTAAAGATCAGCCCCACCTCACCATCTTCTCCATGCCTCATTAGCATTCTTTCCTCAAAAACACAATAAGATATAGGAGCAGGATTAAGCCATTGGGCCCATTGAGTCTCTTCCTTGATCGATGCTCTTCACCCTCACCCTCTGCCTCTCTCTCCCTCCAATACCCCCATCTCTTTCTCTCTCTCCCTGATAACCCTATCTCTCCCTGATACTCTATCTCTCCATTACCCGTCTCCCTCCTCCAATGACCCCCCCTCCCTGGCCCGATGCCCCTCTCACCGTGGGGTCCCGGAAAGTATTGCCTGGGAGGAGTGGGAGCCCCCGCACAGGATAACAGGACATTGCCTCTGCCCTGGGTGACAATTCTCCCTCTCTCTCACACTCTCTCTCTGTCTCTCTTTTGCTCTCTCTGTTCTTTTTTCTCACACACACACACTCTCTCTTTCTCTCTCACAGTCTCTCTCTCTCTCTCTGTGTGTGTGTCTCTCTCTGTCACATACACACTGTATCTCTCTCTCTCTCTCTGTTTCTCTGTCTTCTCTCTCTGTCACACACACTGTCTCTCTCTCTCTCTCTGTTTCTCTCTCTCTCTCACACACGCACACACACACACTCTCTCTCTCTGTGTGTCTCTCTCTCACACAACTCTCTCTCTCACACACACACTGTCTCTCTCTCTCTGTCTCTGTTTTTCTCACTCTCTCACACACACGCACACACAGTCTGTGTGTCTCTCTGTCTCTCACACACACAGTCTCCCTCTCTCTGTGTGTCTCTCTCTCACACACACACACTCTGTCTCTCTTTCTCTGTCTGTGTGTCTCTATGTCTCTCACACACACACACACACACACTGTCTGTCTCTCTCTGTGTGTCTCTCTGTCTCTCTCTCTCACACACTCTGTCTCTTTCTCTCTCTTTGTCTGTGGGTCTCTCTGTCTCTCTCTCACACACACACACTGTCTCTCTCTCTGTTTCTCCCTCTCTCTCACACACGCTCACACACACACACTCTCTCTCTCACACACACACACTCTCTCTCTCACACACACACTGTCTCTCTCTCTCTGTCTCTCTGTTTTTCTCTCTCTCTCACACACATGCACACACACTGTCTGTGTGTCTCGCTGTCTCCCTCTCTCTCTCACACACACAGTCTCCCTCTCTCTGTGTCTCTCTGTGTCTCTCTCTCACACACACTCTGTCTCTCTCTCTCTGTGTCTCTCTGTCTCCCTCTCTCTCACACACACACTCTGTCTCTCTCTCT